ATCTGTGCATGTGCTCTCTTCCCAGGTCTCCCATTGATATGGCTGCTTTTAATGTCTTCCTCTCTGTTAGGCTCACACCCTTGCTCATTTTAGGGACGTGAGCTGTTCTATTGTATTTCTCAATCAGTAATCACTTGCCCCAGATGTCTGTGTCTGTAATTACCTTTAGGACGGTTTTCACCAGTCGTACCTGCTGCTTCCAGTGATTTCCCCCCTTCTGTGGTGTGAGCCACTTTTGGTTGTCTGAACTCTGTGTTGGGTGCCCCAAGACCAGTCCCTCAGGTATCCCCTAGACAGGTTAGAAATCAAAGGGCTGCAGATGAGTCCACTCTGCTCGCTCTGGTTTGCAGAGGGGACTAGCTCGTGGCCACCGCTCTGCTCAAGCTCTTCTGCCCAGCACAGTCACGGAATTTCCTGCCCAGCCACATGTGTCTCATTCTTGACCAGGCACTCACTTGGTTGCTATCACTCTTTGGCCGTTCCCATAGTTCCCATATGTTATTTTGGTCAGTCTCTAGTTGTGTATTTGGTGTTTCTGTGGAGGGAACAGGCCTGGAGTTTTCTCATGTGTCATCTTGCTGACATCACTTTCCTGAATTTTAAAGTAAGTTTTTAAAATATCCAGTCTATTTCAAAATGTGCTGGTACACAGATGTTTGTGTTGTGTTCTGTTATTTTCATCTGCCAGTTTCCATATTTTTAAAATGAAAACACAGTGTGAGTGGGTTCCAGTCACTGGTGGAGGAAGAGGTCTTTATCCTGCCAGCCTGATACGTGCGATGCCTAAGAGGACCTTTAAGATGCACAGGGATACGGTCACTTTTACAGAGACCGAGTGACCGTGTGTGAGTGGAGAGGCTCCTCCTTGCACACAGATGTGCTTCCTGCACTGAGGGCTGGTATCCGTCTCTCCAGATGCTGCTGGAAACAACACCACGTGTCTGGATGCTCACAGCATGAAAGGACACTGCCAAGGCTCCCGGGTACCAGGGACCGTCCCACTGGTGCTTAGGCCGTGACAGTTACTGTAATTACACGCCAGCGACCAAAGCAGCCTTCCCTCCTCAGGGGAGGTTTGTGGGCAGCGTGACACCGACGGAGAGCTGGAACCCCAGCTGGGACCAGCACTCAGACAGGCTCCTCACCTGTCCCTGCTGACCTCTAGACGTGTCCTGTGTGCCTGTCGCTGGCTCTGCAAAGCCCCTCCGCCCTTCCCTCATCCAGCCCATTTTCAGGCACCCACACTTCCCGTTTCCTATCAGGTGTTTCCTAAGGGCCAGCTGGATGTGACCATCACGTGGTGGGGGGAAGCAGTGCCATCTTGGAGACTCACTAAATGACCACTTCTGTGGGGCACATCCTCACAGCCCAGGGGCCCTAACTGGCAAAGAAGGGTCAGGTCCACAGGTTCCCTCACAGGGCCTGCTCCAAGGTGCTCCCTCCAGAGGAAAGAGGGACAGCCCCCCCTCTGACCTCAGGCTGGGGAGTGTGAAGGACCCGGGATCCACATGAGTCTGTCAGGGTGCCGGCCCTCCATCCTGGGGAGCCCTGGGGGAGCCATATTCACACGAGGAGATGGGGACCCTGCTTCCCACGGCCCCCACCCATGTCTAGCTAGTCATAGGAACTCCAGGCCCTGCGGGTCGTCCCACAGGAGCAAGTGTGGATCTGTGCCCTGAAGCCTCCCTGGGTGCCCCTTGTCTGGGGACCACGTCACCCTTCCTGGCAAACACTCAGGGTCCCTCACAATGCGGCAACCTGACTCAGCTTGTGGGCTCGTTCCCTGGCCAGCCTGTGTCCTAAACATCCTC